CCGTACCACCTTGCGGGCCGAGGAGCCGCCTCTGAAGCTCGTGGGGCAGCAGAATTACTCCAGTTCAGAAGCCGGGTTTGAATTTGACCTCTGCCCCTCCCCTACTGCCTCGGGCCAGCCACCTTGTTGAACCCTTGCATTCCAGGTGTTCCCTGGCCTCTGGATGTGTTAGCAACAGTGGCTCCCATTGTACGGATGACAAAATCAAAGAAGTGAAGTGACTCGGCCAAGAGCACACCACCAAATCCAAGGTGGTAGACCCAAGACCATTTCCTCATTCGCCCCATGAAGATACTAGTGATGCCTGCTTCACAGGACCTCGGGAAGCTGTAACCCGCTATCACGGGATGCAGCAGTCCCAGCAGCAGGAATGCTGGAGCCTGGCTTGGGGCTGGAAGTGTTCTTTTCTTTAGGCATTTGCATCTGGTTTGTAAACAGGCCCGGGTGTGGGCACTGGATGCACAGGACGAAACAGGGCGTGGCCTTTCCCTGGAAGAATTGACACTGCGGGTAGGGGACACCGGGTCCACCTCCAGGTGGTTTTTGTGCTGCAGGCAGCCCTGCTGTGGAAGCCCCTCCCCTCCCCGCACACTGAGTTTATTTGTTTTGCTTTGTCTCTGGCATTTGGCATCTCCCTTAAGGGAAACATTTGAAGTTCGGGACCTGCCACCCTTCACTCGGCTTCGGTGACACACCTAACGAAAAGGTTTATTGGGTGACTCCTCTGTCCCCTTCTCTTGGGGGTCTCTGGGTCACCCTGCGTGACTCTTCCCAATGCCCTTAGGAACAAGGTTTCCTGGCTTTCCCCGCAGTTCAGTTTCAATGTGCAGTATGAACATGGCAAGTGGTCCTTTTGGGTGTTTAGTTCTTTACCTTTTACTTGACTAATGCTCTAAATGTTTCAAATTTATTTTATTAGATAAGTGTATATCTCTGTATACATGTATATGGTTAAAATGCACACACGTGTGCACAAAATTCACAGGGCATGAAAGAGAATACAGTGAAGGGAAAGTCTTCCGCCTCACGAGCCCTCAAGCCTCCTGATGCCCTTCCCAGAGGTAAGCGCTCTTACTGGTTCTGATATATCCTTTCAGAAATCAAATCTTCTGTGTTAGGAATTTTTAAAAAGCAACGTTTATCAGGTCATGGCCTAGAGGCTTCCTGGGTCAAGTGTCTGCTTCCTGAGTCACAAACATCGAAGCTACAGAAACACTGCTTCTCCGCACAACCATACATCTCTCAGCCTGTGGGTGCAAGGCTCTTTCCATACGACCCTATTTCCAGATGGGGAGACTGAGGCCGCCCTGGTCAGACAGTGCCAAGTCTGGAACCAGAGCCCGCGACGCTTTCAGCTACACCAGGTCTTGCAGATGGCGTGCGTGCGTGTGCATGTGTCCTTAGAAACAAATCCATTTTTTAAATGAAATCACACTGTCGACACATGTGACGGGAAAGCAGAGCCCCTCCTTCTATCGAAGTGGGGGTGTGGCAGAGGGAACCCATGGAGCCTCCCTCCTCGGAACCCTAGGGTTGAGGGACTACCGTGTCACCTTAGGTGACATCCTGGAGGTGACAGGAATTAGATATTCAGGCGGTTAAATCCAGGGTGGGAGAAGGGAACCAGAAGTTCCGGCTCAGCTCTCTGGAGGCAAGGCCGGGAACCCCTCCCCAGGCTGCCAGACTCCAGTTCTCCCCACATCCCAAGCAGGACAGTTGTATGGAGGAGGCTGCTTGGAGCCCACGTGTCCCCAAGAGGAGAGGTGGCCTCCTTTGAACTTGAAGGACTTGAGTTAGAGTTTAGGGGGATCTCCCCAGCAAAAAACTTCCGTCCTTCAAACTCGATTCTCCATAAATCTCAATTCCATCCACCCCCCTCCCTTGGCCCCCCCGCTCACTGCACTCCACCACACACTGGCCTCCTCCGCCTGCTCCCCCTGCCCTGTGTCCCCCAGATATCCACACCTCTGGGTCCTCCCCTGTGCCCACCCCCTCTCAGCGGGGCTTCCCCCAACCGCCCCTGATTCACACCACCCCCCTCTCTGCCCTCCCTGCTCTGCCTTCTCCGCGGCACGGACCGCTCTCCTGCATTCTCACCCGGTTGCCTCTCCCGTTAGATGTGAGATCCGTGAGGCTGAAGTCGCCTGTGCCTCTGGGACCTAGAACAGCACCAGGCCCGCAGCAGGCACAGGCAAGCCCTTGTCAGATGAGCGAGTGCGCGAGTGACTCCCTCCTAACAGACCCCCCTGCACAGGTGCCCCCTTAGGATGGAGGGGGTGCAACCTCACTGTGCCACAGTGGTCTTTTTTTCTGTTTGTGCCAAGTTGAACCAGCTCCTCGTGGTGGATGATGAGGACCCAAGGGAGAAAGCTGAAGACTGGGCCTTGGACAGAGACCACCACAAGGCCCGGGAGGAGCAGGCAGACGGTGTGGTTCCCTGCCCCCTGCCTGGTGCTTGGTCACCCCAGACACGGAGCCAGGGACCAGGAGAAGGGGGAGGCAGCCATGCATGGTGGCTGTGTCAGTGGGGCTGCTGGCCAAGTGTCTTCCCCCTCCACCCCCCATCGCCCCAGTGCCCTTAACCTGCCCTTGGCTCCTCAGATGAATCAGCGAGTTGCAGCCTCTGGGGTATTATTGCAGCACTTCCCCGGGGACAGGCTAGAGGCTCTTGCATGACATTAAGTAACACACCTGGGAGGGCGGGTGGCTCAGAAAGGCGGCCGCAGCCTGAGGCAAGGGTCATCCAGGGCCTGTGTCTCTGCAGGGAGACCCGGGCCCAGGAGACCGCAGGTGCCAGGAACCTGGGTGGGGGGGGGGTCCCCAGCCTGAGCTGAAAATCAACAGCTCAGGTACAAGCAGTCGAAGAAATAGTTCGAGGCAGCAAACCCGCACAGAAAGTGAATGCAGGTGTGCCTTGCCTTAGTCGCTCTTTATAGGAAAATCAAATATTCATCAAGGATACATTCCTCATTTTATTTTTGTGATGGATTTGAGATGGGGGCTTGGGGGGGAAACATCCATTTGTTGTTCCATCTATTCACGCAGTCATTGGTTGTTTCTCGTATGTGCCCTGACTGGCCTTGAACCTGATCAAACCTGCAACCTTGGCATATCGGGATGACACTCTAACCAACCGACCCACCCAGCCAGGACTTATTCCTCATTTTAAAGATTTTATTTCTTTATTCTTAGAGAGAGAGAAACATCAGTCACTAGCCTCTCCCAGCCCCCAACCTGGGACCTGGCCTGCAACCCAGCCATGTGCCCTTGAAACCAGAAAAGACTGCCTGTCACCACCAAACCCAATAAGCAATGACAGCGATTGAGTCTTTATGGGCGCTTTATTCTGGTGGCCGGCGATCCGGGAAGATGGCAGGTTCATACCCTAACAGACCATCTTCTCTTTTCTTTCCAGACCAAGGTTTCTATAGCAGGGAATAAACCAGGTGCGGTGAGGGGTTTTGAAGTTCAAGGAGGATCAGGTGAGAGAAACTGCGGCTTTCCTGTCCTGGGCAGTCAGCTGCTCCCAGGGGTGGGCGCTCTTCTGTCTCTCCCTGGAGCACAGTGGCCCAGATGCCTCCACTGGTCCCCGGACGGTAATCTCTAGCATCGCCCCAGGAGGTCGGCCGTTTTCCCAGGAGCCGGGATGGGCCTTATCTATCTGTACTTTCTGAAACAAAAGCTTTAACATATACATTCCTTGCTAGGCTTATAACTTTTTACCTTAAACTAAAATTTTGCAACTCTGGAGTCCCCCCCTATCACCCTGACTGGGAATCGAACCAGTGGCCTTTCGGTTGCCAGTGCTCCATCCACTGAGCCACAGCAGCCAGGGCTTGTTCCTCATTTAAACGGTGCTGCTCCTCGGGCACCATGCACACGTGAGCTCCTCTAATCGGTTGGAATTCATTGCCTTTATAAATATTCAGCTTCCACACAATAATCATTTGACATGTGGCACTTTCTGATGAACACATCTTGTCATCGGATTCCCAGAGGACCCTGTGGGGTGCCTGTAATGACCCCCACCCTGCAGGTGAGCAAACAGAGGCCTAGGGTGGGTAAGTCACACAGCTCAGCCGGGCCTTGGGTTTGCAGCTCTTCCCGGCACCTCACGCTGTGTCCGTGTGGCCCCGACGACAGCTCAAATCTGGGGGGTAGATGAGGAAGCCAGGGAGGTGAAGCCTCCAAATCAGCTCCTTGACTTGGAGCCCGGGGTTGGGCGTCAGACAAACCTGGACTCTCGTTGTAGGTTTACCACCCACTACCCCTGTGTGGCATGTACTGGATCTCTATGGGCCTCAGTTTCCTCATCTGCAAAATGGGGGTAATAATGAGGCGCTGTGGGGGTGAACTGAAGTGACATTTGTTGTCGCTTAGGGCAGGGCCTGTCATTCTTGTCACTTTTACAGTGTCTCCCACTCCTTACGCAGAATACCCACAGGGACCTGTGATGCAGCGCCTTCTCCGGAGTCGGGCAAGCTCTTCTCAGTCCTTCCCTCCCCTCACCACCCTCGCCCCTTCCAGAAGGTCGCACGGGGCTGGTTCTCTCTCATCCCCCAGGAGCTTCCCTGCCACGGCCTGACCCCACCTCACAGCTGCCAGCCGCTTGGCCAAGGATGAATGGCATCCCCCACGGCCCCACTGGTGCATGGCCACCCGCCTCTGCCTGTGGCAGGGACTGGAGCCTGGACGTGCCTGGCAGGCTGCCAGCGCTTCCTTGGTAGGACGCCCCGCCACGCCCTCTGGCCCCTCTATTCCGGGAGCTGTAATTTAGACAGCCCGCCCCGCCCCAGTTGCTATCTGTGGCAGCAGTCACCAGTCCCGAGGGCCCTGCCCACCCCCTCACCGCCCCGCCCCGGGCTGCCTGTTCATAAACACCTCCCAGGCTGCCCTATTATCTTGGGCTCCTTGGCTCTGGGGAGGGGGCCTTGCCACCCTGGAGATACCAACGACTCCTCAGACCTGGGGGAAGCCGGCCGATGTGGGCAGAGGCCAGACGAAGCCCTCGCCCGTGAAAGCCCAACATAGCAGCCCTCACAGCCTGACCCTGAAGCCTGCTGTGGTGGGGTGGGGCGCAGGACAGAGCCTGTCATTATCTCCCGGCACCCCGGGGACTAGGTCAGCCCAGGCCACAGTCTTCCCGAAGGCCCTGCCTTAGCTAGGTGTGCTCAGCCACAAGGCCACGAAAATGGGGGTGGGGGAGGGAGAGTCAGTAACAGCAGCAAAAGTGATGTTTCTAAAATATAAACGAGGTTGCGTTTCTCTCACTGGAAATCTTCTGTGGCTCCCCATGGCCCCGAGGGATGAAGCTCGCAAGAGCCTCCTCCTCTGCCCTTTCTACTGTTTCCCTCACCTCAGGACCCTTGCACAAGCTTTCCCTGTGCCTGGCCACAGCTGTCCCCTGCACCTAACTCCTCTCCATCCTTGCACAAGCTTTCCCTGTGCCTGGCCACAGCTGTCCCCTGCACCTAACTCCTCTCCATCCTTGCACAAGCTTTCCCTGTGCCTGGCCACAGCTGTCCCCTGCACCTAACTCCTCTCCATCCTTGCACAAGCTTTCCCTGTGCCTGGCCACAGCTGTCCCCTGCACCTAACTCCTATCCACCCTGCGGGTCTTGGCTTAGAAGTCACTTGTCATGGAGCCTTCCCCTGACGTCACCACACGTGCACATTCTCCCTGGTCCTCCCCTCGGACTGGGATGAATGTCCCCACCGAGTTCACCAGAAGCACAGGCCAGCGCCTGGGCACCTGTCTGTCTCCCTGGCTGACTACAAACACTCCGAGGGCAGGGGCTCTGTCCGTGCACCTTGTTTCTCCAGCGCATTGCCCAGTCCTGGCATGTGGTAGGTGTGCAAGGAAAATTCATTGAAAGAACACATGAGTGGATAAATGAATGACTCCTCTGCCCCTTCAGGATGAGTAGATCACTTGGGGGATATTTGCTCCTTTGTGCCCTTCATTTTCCCAGAGAGCCTCGGCTTCAGTGTTCTGTCCCTGTGTCCTCCAAGCATAACTTCAGGTTTGCAGCACTGTCTGTCCATCTGACCTGGAAAACACGGCTGCCGTGGCTATGGACCTGCTGGTGGGGAGCACCCAGGGGCGCCGAGGTTGTGCTGTAGGACAGCAAGGCATCTCTGGGCGAGAGGGAGGCGGGCACAGAAGGAGGGAGTCCTCGGGCCATGAGTCACTCACGAGCGGCTCATCTGTCACCAGGAAGGAGGCGGATGTGCTTGCCCGGTGGGCTGTCAGGTTATTTTGGCACTTTCTGCTGTGATGCACAGATACTCTGTGTGGTTTGCTGCTTCCAAAGAGGAAATGGCAAACAACAACTCACAGCTGTGACGCGCCGGAGTTGGATTATTCTGCCTGTTGCCCCTGTAAATATTGGAGAACCTCCGAAATGGGAGTCTTTCTGCAACCAAATTGTGTTTCCTTCATCATTTCCCTCCCCCTGCAGTTTCAGTGGAGTTTGTCCCAGGTCACCTGGAGGCTGGAAAAATACGGCCACTGCATCTGTTTCCACCTCCCGAGAACGTGACACCCACTCCCAGGAATTCAGCCGTGAAGCCGAGGTGCAGGGTCCAGGCCCTTTAGGGAGAGAACAAGAGCAGTAGGGACCCAGCATCCCACCTGCCTGCTCCTGGAGGTCAAGTCCCGTGGGGCCAAAGCCAGGCCTAGTGAGGGCAACCCATCTAGGGGCAAAATGGGCAAAAGGCACCCTCTGGGTGGGTCATGTGATCCAGACATACTTTTACTTCTAGGCCTTTGCACTTGCTGTTCCCTCTGCCTGGATGCTGTTCCCCCTCGGATTTCTATGGGCTTACTTCCCCAGGTCTTTGTTTAAAGTGGCCCCCTTTTAGGCAGACCTTGCCTGGCTACCCTATTTGAACTGGACCTCCCTCACTCTCTCCCCATACCCTGCATTATTTTTCTCCACAGATCTTACTGCTGCCTGACACTGCGGATGCCTTCCCTCCCTCCGTCTGTCCTTCCTTCCCTCCTTCTTTCCTTCCTTCCCTCCTTCCGCTGTGTGCTTCCTTTCCATAAAAAGAACATGGCAATTGTGTTTGCAGGCGGAACTCTGGTTTAGTTCTCTATTACTGTTTAAGAGATTACCCCCAAAATTTAGCAGCCAGCTTAAAGCAGGCATGTATTACCTCCCACCATGACTGCAAGCTGGGAATCCTCATCACGGGGTTCTGGTCGTCTGAAGGCCTGATTGGAGGGTCTGCCACCAAGCTCCCTCACTGGCTGGGGGCGGTCCCCAGGTCTGCAGGCTGCTGGCTGGAGGCTTCAGTTCTGTGCCGCGTGAACCTCGCTAGAGGGCTGTCTACGGTGTGACAGCTCACTTCCTGAAGAGCAAGTGATCCGAAAGGGACAGCAAGAGGGCGAGAGAACACCCAGGACAGAAGCCACTTTTATTCCCTACCTCGGAAGAGATGTACCTTGGCTCCTGCACAATGCCACCTTCACACACACCAGGTGTGGACCTGGAGGCCATCTTGCGGGCTGGCTATGACCGTCCCCGACACATACCCGGCACACAAAAGATGCTCAAGAAATAGCTGTCGAAGGAAAGCAGGGTGATTTCAGCAGATTGATTTCAGCAGAATGCCCAGTGCGGGCTTCAGTCCTCATGGGGAACTAAGAGCCCTGACCGCTGCCCCATCCCTGGAGATCCAACTCCACATTCCAGCTGGAGTTCAATCTTAAACACATTCAGCGTTCCCCAACATTGCCACCCTGCCCCCGCGATGCCCTCTTGTAATGCAGCGCCCCCCCTTTCGCTGTGTGAACTTGGGCAAGTTCCCAGACTCACAGGACTGTTGTGGGTATTAAAGAAACGAGGGTGTGAGCGTCACAGTGTCTGACACAAACAAGTGCAGCCGCCACAGGCCGTACTATGTGGGTGTTGGCGTGATGTGCGTGTGCGTGTGTGTCTCCGTAGGTCTGATATTCTGAGAGCAGTCTCTGGGAGGAGCTGTCCGAGGCTGGTCACATGGTCCAGACAGCAGGTTTATCGCCTGGGCCAGAGATAGTCCCCTGAGGGGGCCCCTGTCACCCAAACAGGCAGGAGAGACAAGGGACACCAGGCTGCTGTCCTCTCACACCAAGCAGTACGAGGTTTGCAAGGCTGCGAGGGGAGGGGCACTGGAGCATCAGGGAACCTTTTGAAAGTTTACATGACAAATGCAAATTTGTACATAAACACAAACACCCCCCAAGTGTATATAATAAGCTCGGTACATTCACCACGGGCCACAGCTTCCGGACGCTCACACTGAGCTGCAGTGCCCATAGAGGCGATGGCCGGAGCTTGGGCCTCCTGAATAAATCGGAGAATGCATGCACGGAGGAACACATAAAAAAAAGAATCAAACGACTGCCAAAAAGACTAGAATCTTGGAATTTTTGCTGGTGAGCAGCACATCTTGTCCACCCGTATAATTGCCTCCAGAACACTGGCTGGCTTCGAGTTTTGCCTCGGCCACCTTACCAACGGTAGGACCTTGGACATGTCACCCAGCCCCTCGCAGCTCCACTGGCCTCATCAGGAAACGATGTGCATATCACAGAGTGTGATCCGTAAGCCACAAAGCCTGTGAAGATGGTGAAGTGTTCCTATTTGGGTCGGACTCTTATTCTGGTGGGTGCATCAGGATTGGCAAAAAGGAATGGAATTATCATACGCATCTGCCCTCAAGGGCTTCCATTGGCACAGACCTGCCTTAAGGGTGGGAAGATGCCTGGGTGGGGTAGTTTGCTCAAAGAAAGGCAAAAAAAAAAAAAAACAAGCTGAGCTTCTTGGGCTGTCCTTAGTTAGCACATCCACAGTCAGCTGGCCAAGTTACCGCACAGCTAAAGCTGGGAAGGCTTCCTCTGGGCTCATTCCAGGCCTAAGGCCACACCCTACGCCAGTAAACTAGACTGAGAATTCTGCAATTTTTCAGGCAACAAATATTTAGTGAGCAGCTACTCCTGGTCAAGATCAGTGCCAGGTGCAGGGGACCCGCTAAGGTCCCTCTCCTCTTTGGAGCTGACAGTCTGATGGGAAGCAGCTGTTATCAATCACCCAGAAATGCAGGTGCTCCACAGACGTCTAAGGGGAGGCTTTGATCTCGGTGGGGACGGCGAGAGTGAAGGCAGGACATACTTTTGTTTTAGATTTTTTAAAAGATTTTATTTATTTTTAGAGAGAGGGGAAAGGAGGGAGAAAGAGAGGGAGAGAAACACTGATGTGAGAGAGAACCATTGATTAGTTGCCTCTCACACGCCCCCAACTGGAGCCCCCACCTGCAACCCAGGAACCAAACCAGCAATCCTTTGGTCCACAGGCAGGTGCTCGATCCACAAAGCCACACCATCCAGGGCCAAGTTTCCTTTGAGAAGTGACATATGAGCTGAATGCTGAGCCCACTGAGAGTTTGTGGATGGGGCAGGGAGTACTCTGGGCAGAGTGTGGCACAGTTTCTGCCCCACAGCAAGTGCAAAGGGCCTGTGGTAGCACAGCTGAAAATCTGAAGGAAGGCTGGCATGGTGAGAGCACTCGGACCAGAGTGAGGAGGAGAGGGGTGTGAGGTGTGACTAGAGAAGTAAGCAGGGACACGTGGCAGGCAGAGACCGCATCGCCTTGTTCTCTGTCATGTGCCATTTGCAGAGGCGAAGGAACTGGAGTGGCAGATTTCAAGTCTCTGAATAGCTGTGACACAGAAGGAGGGTGCCTCCATGAGGAACAGAGCAAAGAAATAAAATGGAGTCCCTCTAGTCAAGCTGCTAAATTACTAGAATCAAGTAGGTTGAAGTGCGAAAAAATATTTCTGTCCTTGTTTTAACTGGACACTTACATTTTTAACTTCCCAGTCCTGTGTCAATGCCTAGATTCACCTCCCATCTCCAGATAACCTTCTGGTTACTTGCCTGAAGGACTAAGGAAAGAATGTCCAGGTTCCCAGACCACCTGACATCCATTATCCCAACAACTGGTCATCTAGAAGACCGAGCCTTCTGAAGAATGTGGGTTTTGTTTTGTTTTTGTTTTTGTTTTTTACCATAAGAACTCAGCTTCTCTTTCTCCTTCGGAACAAAACGTCCAGGCTCTTCTTTGATTCTTTGGCCACTCAGAAGCCAGCGGGAGAGCGAATGCCCCAACAAGTGGAGTTTGAGTCAGATGGGAAGGACTGAGGCAGGCTGGGGGCTCGCCTTCTCTGCTCCACTCCAATCTGCCCACAGGGGCTGGTCTGTCTGCTCGTTCCCTTCTGTGTTCTGTCCCCTCTGCCTATTACTCCTCATCCTGATGCTTATGGAAGGAGGGCAGTGGACAGCTCAGCTCTGTTCAAAAACAAAATTCATCCAAGTAAATTTGAACATCTAATTGGCTTTATGAAGCAATCCATGAATCAGGCAGCTTCCCACCTAGCAACTAGAAGGGCACTCCCAGGAGTTGTACAAATGGAAGGTTTATAAGAAGGGTGGGGCAAGGGAGCTTTTAACAAAAGAAGAGAAAGGATTGCTTGGGGGTTGGGACATCTTTTTGTGTGTGTAGGGAGGGAAGAAAGTGAAGGGTTTTTATCTTACGGATTGTCTGTTCTTTCTAAGGGGGATGGAGAGGGCCCACACGACAGATGACCTTACTGGTGCTTGACCAGAAAATCCCAGGCTGGTTGATTAAGATTACATTTCTGGGAGAGGTTGAAACTGCAGTGAGGTCAGGTAGGAGGCCTTTTGGGACCTGAGGTTTTCTCTCTTTAACAACTATGGCCAGGTGAGTGAGTCTGTTGGATGGGAAGGCTCAGCGGGAGGGAAGAGCTGGTAAGAGTTGTCTCCAGGCTGCACAGGAGAGAAATCTGGGGAGGAAAGGGGAGGGGACAGCCCCGCAGCCAAGAACTGGAGTTGGGGTGGGAAGGGAAGGGAAGGAGAGCGGAGAGGTCAGGATGAGGCATCTGCAGGTGGTTAGGAGCCTCCTCTACGCTGGAGGCGCTGCAGTCCCAGCTGCCTTGCCTGCCGCAGGACAAGACAGAATTGCCCTGGTGGTTACTGGCAGAACAGATCTGCCTGTTTTTCTTGCCTGGCACTCTTTTGGGAAGGCCTGTTTGCTTGTCTGGGCCCCTCTCTAGACTGTAAGCTCCTTGAGAGCAGGGTCTGTGTCTTGTTCAAAATCATGTCTCCCAGTGCCTGATGCCATTCATTAAGACTTGTCCAATGAAGGAAAGCACAAACCAATGAGCACTGTATTGTAGAGATGACTTGGTGAGCAGGAGGCTGCCTGTAGCTGCCGATGCTCAGCTCAGCAAAGCTGAGCCCTGATCTACGTTATCATCACATCCAAGGACCAAGGACGGGTGGGACAGCATAGAACGGCAACTCAAAACCCAGACGCTTTCCCTTTCCAGTGGTGGTGACCTGCCCATGACAACATGCCTCTTGCTAACTATCTCCTTCATTCCTCCCCGGAAGAGAAGAGAAAACACAAGAAGAGCCTGGTGCGGAGCCCCAATTCCTACTTCACAGGAATTGCTAATTACCGATGGCTGTTGAGGAAGGGCATCAGAGACCTGGGCGGGGGGTCTGCTCAGTCTTGGTCCCACACCCCCAGGACAGTGCCTTACGCCCAGAGCACCCTATGGCCATTCTTGCAGAAGTGCCTGAATGGGGACGCTCCCAGCAGCCTTTTTCACTAAGCCTACCCACATCAGCCACCAGACCCCGGAATGCCCTTTGGGTTCTGCAGACAGCAAAGTGCAGACTCCAACGTCCGGGCTGATCACCACTTGCCACACAGTGTCCTTGGGCAAGGTGCTTTCTTAATGTTATCTAGCTTCTGCTTTCTTATTTGGCAAACCAAGAATACCCAAACCCATCTGCGAGGGTTGCTGTGAGGATTAGGTGCCGGGCACCCAGCTGGCCCTTCCTCGGGTGGACAGACTAGGGCAGATCTGCCCCTCACTCGTCCTTGCCCCTCTGGACTGATTGCAGAGCAGGAGGCCACATTCCTGGATGTGTGGCCTCACTGGCTCTAACACGCAAACCTTGGGCAAGAGTCGTGCCCTCTGTGCAGACCGGCTGCAGAACGCCATCCCTGGCTGCCTGAGTCAGGGGTCACCAGGGACTTTTGGCCCCGTCACCCCAAGATGACTCCTGTGTCTATGAGCTGTCTGCCAGGAGGACTGACCGAGGTCCCACAGTGAACCCCACAGGGGAGGAAGTCCTGCAAGCCTGAGTGCTGGTCAGGGGCCGCAACCCCCTGTGGGCTGGGGTGGGGGTGGGATCCACACTCCATTTCCGTCCCCACCTTTAGGCACATGGCCAATCACCCAGCTTACTTACTGGCACAATGAGACGGGACAGTTCAAAGAGACAGGGTTGGGTCCTGAAAATTTTAGTGCAGGAAGAACTAACGCAGTTTCTACATTTCCCCCACGCAGGCTCCTTGCCCACAGCTCCTGATGACTTCGGGGTCCCCATCGCTGGAAGGCAAGGCTGGGCAGTAATAGGAAGTCATCAGCCTACCCCTTCCCCAGCCCCACCAGGGAGTTTGGAAACCAGGCTGAAAACCGGGCTGCTGACTGCCTCAAAGGGGCAGCTGACTGCCTCAAAGGGGCAGCTTTTGAACCTAGCGCCAGGGGCATTTGACCTGGGGCCAGTCATTTGATCTCTTTCAGTCCCAGTTTCCTTGTAGTAAAATAAGGACAGTACTGGAGTGACTGGTTCATTAGTGGGAAGAAGCAGTGAGGTAGCAGATGCAATGCGGCGGGGTGGGGGGAGATTTTTTTTTTCAATACATCCAAGGCCTACTATGTGCCAGGGCCTATGTGCTGGGACCGAGGGGGACATTCATAAATAAAACATGACCTCTGCTTTCACGTTGCTTGCAGGACAGTATGGGGGCGGACACGGAACCAAGGGCTGGTGTAGGTAGCAGCTAAGGCAGCCCTCTCAACTCTCTCTGCTCCTTGATTTCCCAACAATAAAGTGAGCCGTGGGATGGTGAGGATTA